AGATTGGTGCCAGGAACTTCCACCTTCAGGCCGTATCTTCTTACCACCCCATGCTCAGGGTCCATTCAATTAAAAGAGAAGAAGCCATATCGAGTGCCTCGACCGCCATGCGCAGTGTCGCTCTTGAGAATTCTGCAAAGACATCTTGCTCGTCATGAGGAAAGAATCGTTCGACAAGATGAAGTCTAATTACCATACTCATTGTTAGAATTTTTATTTTTATTTTCGTCTGTTAAGGCCTTGTTTTACGGTGAAATTTATTGTGCGATTTCTTTCCAGCTTTGACCACTTACGTCCAACGAAAACGAGTTTTCACAGGCAAGAATTCTTCTCTAAACATATTTGTTAGGTTGCATATTCTTGTCTCAAATATTACTTCCTGGGTCTGAATGCCTTTTAAAGCGCTGATATGTTCCAGCTAGGCTTGTGACTACTGTCCAGTGTGGAGTAGTACACATTTTTGTGAAACATTTTGCACTGAGTATCAGTGCACTCAAAATTAGCTCCGATGAAGAAATGTTGAAAGCATTTGGTCAACAGGACATAAACCTGGATGCAGATGGCGATGAGCATTTATAGCCAGTGAGTAAGGCCAAAGGTGATCGAGCCACTTCTGTGTGTTTTACTATCATAAATAGGTTTAGAATGTTAAATTCTACTTTTTAAATACTTAGACGACAAACTAAAGAGCCATAAATCGCCTAACATAACTCACATAGTTTGTAGCTAGTCTGCACATGCTTTCCAAATGTTGGCTTCTGGGTACCCTGAAGTCAGTAAGCAAGTAATATCAAAGTAGCTTTTTTTCCATTTATTTACCAAAGGGCCGATAATAAGGCGGAAAGAGGCCAGTCTAGTCGCAGCCAGATTTGGTCAAAGTGTGAATGTGAAAACTGCAGCCTAGTCACTTCACAGATCCTGCCCATGAGGCAGGGCGTTAAGAAGGAGGCCATTACTGCAAAAGGCCCAAACAGTATGCAAACTGACTCTAGAGAATCTGTGGTCATGTGACAAAGTGCTTTTCGGCATGGCAAAACTAAAATAGATCCGTTTGGCACCAAAGCCAGTCGCTTGGCTCACACCAGACCCACCAAGCCACCCCAAAGATACCATCCCTAGTCTTAAGCATTGTGGCGGCAGCCTCGTGTTGCCGGGATGGGGTGAGGGGAGCGAAGAAATAGAGCAAAGTGCGGAAAAGTCTGTGAGGGAGAATCACTGCCCTCTGCAAGAGGAATGAAGTTGGAAATGGAAGTTTACTGTTCAGCACAGCAATGGCTCAAATCACACAGCCAAAGCCACGTCGAAGTGATGCTTGCAGCAGCTTCGGTTTGCAGCCATAGACAACAATCAAGTGGCCAAAGTGCAAAAGGGTAGAAGAGCCCTAGGCGCCCAATTAAGGCTCAGGTTCGTGACAAATTGAAAATTTACGGTGGCTTGAATTTTGCTGTCCGCCGAGGCTCCCCGGGCAATTGTGCCAGACGTGAATTGTTTTGTTGAGAAGAATAGTAGAATATTGACGCTTTTGGGTGCCGCAAGTATCATTGTAGTTGTGCTTAATGCGCTCGCGTCCAGTGATAGCCCGTGGAGTTTGGCTTTTTTTCATACCACTTTGTAGCTTCGTATTGATGGCATTACTTTTCCCGATAATAAAGACATTTTTCTGCTAATATTATGAATTGATGTGCATAGATATCCACAGATGTATGCATCAAGGTCTGGCGCGCCGACAAAATAATGCGCGAAATATGTTTAAGGTTGCTAAACTATCGTATTATCTGAGTTTTAGATGACGAAATTGGTTAATATTTTTCGCAATTTAACAGCCCCAGGCGAGATGTGTTTTTGGGGCTTCTTAGGTTCTCCACATTCGGCCAATGACTTTGTTAGAAAATGACAAAACAGCTCTATTTCCTTCATCCATGCTTCAATGAAACCTGCATTGGAGATTAATTTCGCAATTAATTTGCACTTAGTAGTAATAGACGAGTGAATTCCAAGTAAAATGGGCCGGATGAGTCAGGATGAATAGTTTTGCTGCCAGCACCGGGAGCCAGTAACAAAAGCTGAATGCGCTGTGTTCTGACTCGAGGACTTATGACACGGGAGACCTGACCTGAGTCTTTTTGGTGACACAAAAAAGATAAATGACTGTAGCGTAGAAGCTGTGGAGATACGTAATGGATGTGCCTAGCAGTTACGTGGAGACGAATACATAATTTTAGATGACGGGAACCGGGCAACCGACGTGCTGTGCCGTGAAGTCCAGTCCCATGGAAGAGAAACCACGACCAGATGCTGCGAGAGAAGACAACGCGGAGGGGTGACAATGATTTCGGGTCTGTCAGGCTAGACATATTGCTGCTGTGGAGCTAGCGAAGCCACAAATATTGGAGAAAATTGTTTGACTTTGTTTTCGCAACTTGGTCATAATGGTAGGAAGATTTATAGAAACGCACCTTGTCCTGAGTCCATTGTATGCATAATTATTTCCAAAGTCGGACCGTGGACCTGGTACATTCCCAGACGTTTCGCCGGCATTGTCAGTGAGTTTTACCATTCGTAGCACTATC